CAACAGCAAAATATTTATATTTCTTTAAAAAAAAAACCTAAATCAGGAATAAATATCTCAATTGTTAAGGACTACTTCCAGCAGAGGATTCATGAGCACATGGTTCTCCATACAGTGCTCATGATCGTCATAAAGTAAAAACCTGTCACACGGTGCAGCAGGAATGTGTCATTAATAAACTTTTGGACGTCACTGAAATTCCAAGGAGAGCTTTATCAAGCTTTAGCTACACAGACATCAACTGTTAGAAGGATCAAAATCAATGTTGGGTTTGATCTTTTCATGGGATTTGTTGATGAGCAGAAAAAAATATAACGAATCACCAGACTTATTCTTTGACTAGTATCGGCTTCAGTGCGTAACCAATTGCCAGAGCATCAGTTAGAGAGCATGGCTTATCCAGCATGGCTTGAGACAGCACAGACATTCTCCTGAACTGTTCCTTTCATGTTCCAACTTTAACATAATGTATGACGGTATAGTTTTTCAAAGAGAACCCAGAAAAGACACAAGCATGGACATGAGTCAAAATCAATCAACTACAAGAACTACAGTCGTACAGTACGTGGGTGAAGGCCGGTTCATAAAGTTGATTTACGTGTGTCATTCTGCAGCCAAGGTTACACCTGATAACCAATAGCAACAACAAAAATGCTGGGAAGTCTTTCAAACGTTGTCTGGCAGAGCTTGAAATCACGGTATGGAAGTATGAACGTGTGAGCAGCTTCTTCTTTGTTTTTCTAGCTGCATGAATATGAGATATCCAGTAATGAGGCCTCTGTTCTCTGGCTAAGGCATCAGTGCTCACCTGTGTCCTGTCAGAAGCAATGACAGCTAACATCCACAAGAGTGGGAGAGAGCGAAGGTCCAGAGGAGCTGAGTTACGCACCTCACGGTTACGCACTCAGACTTTCCACTGATACATGGAAATAAAAAACAGAGCCGTGAAGCTGTGGGCCGTCACAGAGAACGCTGGCTACGAGAGGAGGAAGAGAGACGGACAGATAAAAGACGGGGGGATTAGGTGGGGATTCGCGTGAGGACAGATGTGAAAAGGTGGTGAGGAGAATTGGGGTGTGTGTGGGGGTCCCATGTGGTTATCATTAGCTGGGACCGTTGGGGTGTATGTGTGTTTGGGGGGAAAAGGATCTGGATCTTGTGTTTCACTCTGGAGGGACACCTCAGCCCGATGTCCCTGAAAGGACTCTCTTTGGCAGCGGGAAGCGAGCGGCTGCTTCTGAAGAATTGTGTGGAAAAGATGGTTAATGTCCTAGAAACGGAGAGGAGATGTGTTGGCAGTGAGCCAGTAAAATAAATTTTCCTCATCTCCCATTTTCTTATCAGCAAGTGATACAGAGGAAATATCTATGGTACTTTTGATGTGGAGTACTTCTTTACACAATCATATTTTTTCTACTTTCCTAAGCTCAGAATACTTATTTACTTTGCTCCCACTTCAGCAGAACATTCTCAGGACGTGTGCACATCTTCCCGCTCGCCAACGTACAAGCTATCAACACGCTTATCTTCATCTCTGAGGTTGCAAGTTCAAACATTGCATGTGATCTCACCGAACACTTGGTCCTGCACCGAGGCATCCTGGTCATCCAGGTGCAGGAGGAGCTGCTGGAAGAGGAGCTGCAGATGAGGAGCGCAGAGCTCTGGGTCGTAATCTTTGTTCAGGTTGGACAGCCACCGCCTCAGGGCCTGCAGAGCCGCGTCACGCACGTCCTTGCTACTGTCGTCCAGACGTTTCAGCAGCTCTGTGGAGGAGAGACGACCACGTTTATGATTTATTTCAGCTGCTTTTAGTTCAGACTGCGACGTGATAATACAGAATTATTTTCAATGCGTTCATGTGATTTTACAGAGAGGAGAGATTTCATCTCTGTGGGTGTGCCTGTCATTTACCGGGGTAGATCTTGTTGAGGGCCTCAGGGTGCAGACTGGGTCCTATGAGATTGAGCATGGTGGATACAGAGCGACAAGCAAACAGTCTGCCCATCTGAGAGTCCTCTTCCAGGGCAGACAACACCTGGGGTCTGAGCTTCTCCTCCAGACACAGCAGCTGCGCACAGAAAAGAGACACTCAGCTTTTCATTGAATGACGTGATCAAAGTCTGCCCGCCTGTTTGATACAATTCATCACTGAAGGAGAAATCTGCTCTCTCAATTCCACATGATATATTAGAATACTGTGTTTCCTTCTGTAAAGTCATTTTGTCAGATTTTCACAATGAATGTGCATCTATCCTCTAAGTGGAACTTAAGCTGTTAAGAGACATGAACTCTAGAAAATGTCCAGAGAAATTGGGTCTGGGTCCTTATGAGGAACGCAGCAGGAGATTGTCTGGGTCAGGCGCGTCCACAGGAATATTTCTGAAACATTCAGGCGACGGGTGGTGCCTGGGTAGAGCATGCAGGAGGCAGGATGTATAAATTCTGCAGCGGAAAGCACATCGTTTTTGTTTAAAGCACATGTAAACGACACGGGCATCAAATCTTTTTTGTCTTTCCAAGTTGACATTTTTGTCTACGCATCCTGAGATATTTGAATTCTTGTACTTCTGTGTCCATGGTGTGTTAAAAATGTATTCATTAGCCCACTCACTCGATCTGGAAAATGTCCAGACTTGGACACATGCGGCCTCCCCGGAAAATGTCTGTGTCTGAAAGCAGCTGCCTGCTTTGATGTTGTATTGTGAAGATCACTCTCTTTAATTTCCAAAATCCTCTTAAAAAATCTGCTTCTAATTAATTTACGCACATCAGTTATCTACAATGAGAAGTAGGAAAGAGGCTGGTTAGTAAAAGTGACATCACAAGCTTTTACAACACACTTTCCTTTGAGTACTTGTGTTGACTTGTGTTAAGTGTTACATCACCTAAATCATGGCAGATTCACATCAGGTCTGGATCAGTTTGTACAGACACATGGGCATGGAGCCCATCTTCAGACCGACGTTTTCATTACACAGAGGAAATGGACAAACAAGGTATGTGAGGCTGAGCGCCACAAGCAACAGGCCAAGAGGTGATTGCTAAAACCTCTGTCACCCCGTCTGTTTGCTATCGAAACCACGCGGGCGAAACAGAAATAATAAAAAAAAGGGGACAAGGGAAGAGGGAGGGAAGGAGACAGAAAGAGGAGGACAATTTGGCAGAGACGTGATCCGGCATTACATCAGTGACAATGTGAGGATGCCAAGTGTAAGTGGAGCTGCTAATTGTTTTCACAGGGGAGTAGCGAGGAAACAATGTCCTTCGAAATGAAAGGCTGTTTGATTTGCCCGTGGAAATACACTCGAAACCTTCTGCTGTTACACCCGTCGGGACATGTTGTTTACTTCCCCTCAGCTGTAACCTCACCTCTACCCCAGGAGCTGTGACACGGTCGTATTCGGTCACCACTTTTCCACATTCGGGTGCCAACTGATAGTAAAAGTTTGATCGCACACCTACACCCTTGCACCAACACCCAAGCTCCTATTGTCCCCCAGATGTTTGCTTTGCCTTGTAGTTAAAGACGTGTGAATGGAGGAGGTGTGAGAGCCGGTTCCAACTGGTCACTCTGCACACGCGAGGGCAAACACAGCCAGATGTGTGCGTGCGAGCGTGCATACTGTAACTGGGCACATGCTCCGACAGGCAGGTGCAAGGGCACGTCCCAGTGATAGTTCCTACACATAACAAGGGCCAGGAACACTGAGAGCATTGTTTCTGAGGGACAAAGGTATGTGGACCCGCTTGACCCCACGTACACCTGCTACCTGCTGCGGCCAACTCTTTCAGCCAGGGAGAGAAAGATTTTATATTTTCCTAAATGGCCGAGGGGGACTGTCTACTTTGTTGTGAAATGGATAAAACAGAAAATTTGAAATACATGTCAACTCCTGATGGGTTTAGAGAATGCACTACCACATCATTTCCTTTACAGCTGAGTCAATAAAAAGTGTTTCTACAGAATGGAGATCGGACTACTGGCTACTACTTGCATCCATGTAACCAGTGTTTCATTTTGTGCAGGCAGGAACATCTCTGCATACTTGTATGTATGTATGTACCTGTCCAGGTGTGATTGCCCCTCCATGCAGCAGGGCCAGCAGACAGCTGAGCGCCGAGGTGCGGACGGCAGCAGCAATGCGGCCTGCTCGCCACACCAGGTTGGGAAGCAGGATGTCACACAGGAACTTATCGGACCTGTCACGGAAATGCCTGGGAGAGGGGCAGAGTGAAAATATGAGACACAACAGGGGCAGAGAAACACATTTCTATTGCTGCAACACGCCACTTTGAAGATAAGTGACTGATGTGGGGAATGCATCGGCAACACATTGCGGATGCTGCAGCCCTTTTCCCACACATTTTCCCACAAGGCAGATGGGATGGGGGGGCAGTGGAGGAGAAGCAGAAGGCGAGGGGCTACAACATCTGGGTGTCATCCTGTCCCTGCTCCTATTTTCCATGCTGGCTTAGTCCCTCGGACATCCTCTCACACACTACCAGAGTCTTCACTTCTCCGTCTGCTCCAAACCACCTCCACAAGCTCTGATCTCTGCCTCTGGCTGTTCAGCTGGTATCATAATAAAGCCATCATGTATTTAATAAAGTGTGCTTCAATCCTTCAGCGCCAGCAGGGGGAGACAGTGTGACAAGAATACAGCCCGCTCTCTGCTGGTGCCTTGGATCCGTCTCTTCAACTTGACAGGTGTTGAAAGCTCATCACCAATATGATGCCAGAAGAGGGAAAGACGAGTTTCCACATTACAGCGATGATGCCCGAGGGACAGAAGACGAGGATTTGACCTTTTTTTGTGCGTCTTTGTGCAGACACACAAAGACAAACACAGAGCACCTCACGGGCTTCTGCAGTCTTCACAAACAACTCACTCTGAGTTTGTCATGAAGTAGAACTGGACGTTAGTTCACTAGTATTGATCATCAGATATGGTGAATGGTAAATAGACTTAATTTACAAAGCACTTTTCTTGTCTTAACCACTCAGAGCACTTTCCTACAATATCGAGTATTTCTCAATCATTTGCACACTGACAGTCTGGGGGTCAGTATCTTTCCCAAGGGCACTTCATCATGTGGAGTGGAGGAGCTGGGGATCAAACCACCGACCTTCTCACAGTGGTTTTACTTGTTCTGCAACTTTCGGTTGTTCAGTCAACTGATTCATTCATGGGTTTGGTCCTAGAATACACGTCACTGCTTTGACCATGAGTTTGAATATTTTGTGAGTGATGCCACATTCCTTTGACATATTGTGATGTATGTTGGTATTGAGATATTAATAGTATTACAACTATATTATCCGTTCCTATATGAGGTCTTTGTTTAAATGTATAGAGAATCTGCAGATGAGCTGTTTGTAAAAGTGTAATATTTGATACAAGCACAGTTGAATCTGTTTCATTTTGCCTTGTTTCTTATTACTGACAAGTGTTAAATACAATCTCCAAAATCTAGGATCCTGGAAAAAGATCTCTTGTTTTATTATTTCTTCAAAGCTGAACTCAAGACCCCCACTTTCCACACACTCTTATCTCAGTTGTAAGTGGAACATGAGTACCGCCTGCCACAAGGATGAACTTTCATTTCTTACGCATCACCTTCTACTTAAATTTCACATCCAGCTTTTTAATCACACAACTCCACATAAATCAAGAACAGTATGTGTGCGTGGATGAAAGGTACTAACGTCCATCACACATCCTTTCCCTTTCTGCTTGTTCTGCAGCGGAGCTATCATTATGTCATTTTGGTTGTAGAACAAAGAGAAGAGTTTTTCTCTATGACTATCATTGTCTTCTTGATGACATAGCATGTGTGTGTGGGGGCTACAATCTGCTGAGCCAAGACCGGGCCACAAATCATGAATGGAGGGATGAGCTGAGTATGAATGGAAATATTATGGCAGACCGCACAACCCCATACAGTGCACGTTAAGCTTTTACTTGAAACCTTTTGAAGATGTAACATGATTTCTTTCTGCTGATGGTTCTGTGATTACCAGAGATACGGCTCAGGAATGAGAGACGCTGTTAGCAGCACAGGTGGCCGCGCTGCGAGTGGGGACGAGACAGAGGCTTCTTTTGTCTAATACGCACATTTATGGATAAAATAATTTGATGATAGTTGAAAGCAAAGTTCTAATTTCCACGTTTTTGGCAAAGAGCGTTTTGGCCCGACAACACGTCCTGTTGTTTACGTATTTCAACGACAAAGGCATTATTTTATCTTGTATTCTTGAAACAGTTGCTGGGTTCAGGCCAAATGCACTTTTGACATCTTTCCATAGAAAGATTAGCAGTTCATCCCTGATATTATCCAATGGAAACAACCACTAACCCAGACAGACCTTTGGGCTGTTGGGTTGGGGTTAGTAACACGCTGCAGCGATATCTCTATGGCAACCCTTTGGACGAGGTCTGTCTTTGTTATTGACAGGGGCAGCTGCTGTGATTACTGGGACCCGGGATGGGCCTCAGGCTTAATGCATTCCCTCAGATTAGAGCTCTGAACCCGGGCTGAAAGCTGCACAGCTGAGGGCTCGGAGGGGACCCAGGAAGGTGGGGTGGAGGGGAGCCACAGGGAAGAAGAAACTCCAAACAGGAGCTGCTCTCTGGGTGTCAGACATCCTTCCCAATCCTACCTCTGTTACCAGTCAATAATCATTCAAATTAGTGAGGAGACGTTCTGAGAGCATGTGCACTCTTCTTTTTCATGCATGCTGGGAAGTGATTTATAAGAGTAAATCTGTATGATACTCCCTCAGAGACCATTTCAATTTCAGTTCTAGACTACCACTGATGGTATCACGCCATGATGTAACGCTATCATCAACGACATGACTACCTGTCCAAAAGATCCAAAGGTCCAAAAGAAACTGAGATACTGAAAAATGGTTTCCAGGAAATACAATTATGTGTGCAATTGTAATTATGGTCCCTTGTGGGTGCGGCACTTATTTGCAGGTTAATGTGAAGCAAAGTCTTAAAATAACAAGCTGTGAAAATAATGCCATGACTTGGAAAAAACTCAGACGAGACGAACTGTGATTATAGGGTGGAGAGTTAACCTGTGATGCAGCATATTGTGTGTGCACCTTCAGTGCAAAACATGCAACAACTTCCCATTAACCTACAAAAGAAACATTTCGGTCCTAAATGTGTTTCATCAGCAAACTTGTTGTGTGTGAATGTGTCCCTCTCACCCTTGGGAATCCAGTGTGTTCGTTGCGTTCAGTAGCAGCTTGGCAAGCATTGTGAAGATGCTCATTCTCATTTCTGGGTCTTTGTCTGGCTGGAGGCAGCTCTGCAGCAGAGGCATCAACTGGCTTACAAAATCCCCTATCACTGGACCTGTAACACAAACACAGGCACACGTGTGATGATACTGTCACGTTACTTCAAGCTCTTTCAAATGACCTAAGCATGCGTTTGTTTTTGAGCAGGATTACGCAAAAACTACCAAACACATACGCACGAAACTTGGTGGAAGGATGGGTCAGGGATGAACATTTGACATTTTGATAGTGGATTCAGGAATTGTATTAACTTCCTCTAAAATTGTGAGGGAGGCGGTTTTTCTACATTTTATTTCGCAGAATAATTTATTGATGACATTTTTTTAAATCTTTTCTTAATTGTATGTATATCTCATAAGCTGAGCCTTGGTAGAGGTATGCCCCCTTCTAGGTAATTCTGTAACCACTGACCAGAAGGCTTGGTGTTATTGAGTCCTAAATGGACTGGTGAGTCTGAGACACAGACACACTGAGGAAATGAGACACAAAAAGGTCTTTGTATGATGGTGTGTTTTTGTGTCGATTACAGGAAAATGAGAAACTCACAGTGCAAGTATTCCCAGTTACACTGATCTGCCCCCACACACACACACACACACACACACACACATACCCAGCAGTCTGACTGCATGTTTACAAAGCTATATATAGTAATGTGTGTGTGTGTGTGTCTGTCTGTGTGTGTGTGCGTAACAAGTGATAAGTGTCTGTGCCCTGTTTGGACTCTATTGTACAGACATGAGAGGAGACATAGGAAATCCGGAAACTGCCCGAGGGTGGTGGACAATGTTATAAAGAGACACAGGAAAACAGAAAGAAAGAGATAAAGAGAGAGCAACAGGATGTGCGATTCAAAGGGTGTGTCACAATCAGGGGTGTTAGAAGACGTCTGCAGGTCGTCTCATGGTCACGATAGTCATGACGAGGCAGTGAGGGGAGATTTCCCTACACTCATAGACAAACACACTTTCCTCTGTATGCGGTAATTTCACTGCTTAGAGAGACTGTCTGTGTGTAAACTGCCCTCGAGCAAGGCATTAAGAGCCAGCGTAGAGAAAGGCAGCAGGAGATTTCACCAGTTTACAGACAGGATCAGACATTTTCACACCGACTGAAGAACAAAAGACTGTGAGGAGGATATGAGAGGGCAGCTGTGTGTGCGGAGCTGATGAGCAAGCGAAATGACCAATTCTCAGTTGTCAAATTAACTACCGTCAATTGTTCAGCAGAGGGACAATTTCCCTGAATCATGTGCACATCAAACACAACGGCCACATGCTGTCCGTTCTGCTGCCAGTAATAAAGTCCTCGGGTCATGTTAATAGACCAAAGATCACATCTGCAAGAATACAAATCTAGCTCAGAGCAGCATTCAGCATTCGCAAATAAAACATGCACATACTGAAACAAACTGAGCTTCAAAGTGGCCTTGATCCTGGGGAAGGTCAAGAGTAGGCGGCCATAGTGCTCTTTGATGTAGTGACCCACACAGGGATTACAGGGTGGACTTAAAATGGACTGGTCAGTTAGCTGTGGGAGTGTGTGTGCCTGTATCTGTGTGTACTTTTTGTTATATCCCAGTGGGCTCTTAAACTTGAATGCCCACTAACCTGTGGGGACATCACAATGGGAACAAAAAACAAGGTCCCCACAGGTAGAGACTGCTTTTTGAGGGTTGTGACTTCAGGTTCTGTGTGTGTGTGTGTGTTTGGATTAGAGGGGTCACAGCTGCCTAGTCAATTAGAAAGAGAGGGGAGGGGGGAAGAAAGAGATGGAGATGAAAGTGTGGCACAGGGAGGCGCTGATGATGGAGGATTATATGGTGTAGGCGGAGATAAAGTGAAATCTCACCACCAAAGACAAGGTCACAGCTTTTTTGACCCACTGTAATGCACGCACGCATGCACACACACACACACACACACACACAGAGACAGACTATGTAGGCTCTAGGCTCAAATTGGTCCTCACAAACACAAGTAAACACACACACACACACATACTCTCACAAGCATAGACTAACCTCTATAGACAAGTCTGAGACACACTGACTGACTAAAAAACAGAGGGAGAGACAGGGATTTACTAAAGTCAGAAAGCTAACTGGTGCTAAGGACAGGTTTTTTTAGCGATGCTAGAACTGCACAATAATTTACACCAGGAGCTGTGTGGGGCAACATGAAATCATGGAGAAGGAGAAAGCTTTTTGTTCTAAAACTGTGATTTCCAGGACCAATTTCAAACCACTTTCTTTTCTTTAAGACATGTTTCAGTTATATAGGATAGTGAGCCTGAAATGGGGAGAGAGAATGGGGGAAGACACACAGCAGCCAGGTCAGAATCAAACCGGCGGCTGTATTTCGAATTCTCATTTTCATTATTTGTAAGTGCAAGACAGAGTTTGGGCTGCTGTTTTGGCAGTTACTGTTGTGCGATTAGGCCAAACAGCTTTATGCTTAAAAAATATGATGTAAAATGAGTTGGAACAAGTTCAGGAAAGAATGGCTTCACCAATCACACCATAAATTCGTGTTTGTATAGTCTCAACCAACATACTGGGGTGAGCATGTTGAGATCTATGACTGATGCAGGGATTTTCTCATCAATAACAAGTAACTCGACTGACCAATGTCTGAGACACCATCCTGTATTTCTTTGACCACCATTGTGTCTCAATATGTGCAAACCTCAGCACCTGCGGCGCAATTTGGCAACGTCTCGTGCACATTGAGGCTTCACTTCTCACCTGATTGTATGACTATGATATGCAGTTGGAGTCTCTGTGGGGAGTAACTGGACCAGGTGTTGACGGAGGTAGACAGCCAGTCCAGCAGCTGACCCATATGTTGCCTATAGAGCTCCATCCCTGAGTCCAGGCCCTGCACCTCACACAAGCAATGCACACTCTCCAAGGCCTGAAGGGAAGAAAGAGGGATGAATGAATGTCATTTTTACTTGAAATCTTAAAAACAGACAGGAATTTGTTTCAGTTGAACAATTATGTTTTCTTGTAATTCAAGGAATTCTCCAGGACGTGCAGAAATGGGAGGCGCAAAACTATCCTGTGAAACCCTGGGAAGAACAACACTGCAGACATGATAAGGTCTCACACATAAAACCACAGAAACAAAAACCCTGACAAATACACAGGATGTCACAAAGGCACAGGAACCGACTAACACACACACACACACGCACAGACTCACACCAATAAAGCACGGCTGAGAGGAAAGGGCAGGGATGAGAGATAGAAGAGTAAATAATTAGGGCAGACTAACAGACCTTTGGGGAACTTCATAATTCCCATCATAGTCCCTCAGGGATGGACAGGGACAGAGACGTCTGAGTCACAGAGGAGAGCTAGACAACCCTGAAGCTGTCCACTGATGGGAAAGACGTGCCCCCTTTCTGGGAAAACAAGACTGACTTTCCCTCTTGATCCACAAATGCCCAAGGCCATTCTCACCCTCCCTCTCTTTCTTAATCCATTCCTTCCCAAATCTTCTCTAACACTGCTCCCTGTCTGAACATACATATGCGCAGACAAACTTGGACACATGCACACACTGGTGGCCCCTGTCATTGGCCTACGGCGACGAGAAGTTAGGCGTGTCCCTCTGCATTTGGAGACTGACCGCAGCATTAAAGCTTAGTTACATATCATTTCGTATTTTTTGTGAATTTAGGAGGCGTTATGGAGCCACGAATGGAGGTGAGCTGATGACACAACACATGCTAAGAAACGCAGCTCACGTCTCCCTATCTATATTTATTTTTTTCTTTTGCTTACTCCACCTTTCACCCAGGACTGGATTTAAAGTTCCAGTCCAAAGGTGCAATTTCAGATGCCCTGGCTAAGTGGGTAATTACACTGTTAGCCATGCCCACTTTGAACCTGTACAAATGCTTGCATTCCTTGAATAACTCTTTTGCTTCATAAAAGCTGTTTACCCTCATAAAAAGTGACGGAAAAAGGAAAATTGATCGTGGAAAGGGGTTCAAAAAATGAGGTAATGGCAGAGCAGCAGAGAGGAGGAATCAGGGATCGTATCTTCATGCTGTTAAGTTATGTTTTCTCACCTTTTCACTGAGATCTGAAGAGGTGGAGAGACTCTGGACATTGACCAACACCTGCAGCAGCTGGAGGCTGACTGAGCCACAGTCTGACTCACACTGACGCAGCAGCACATCCACACAGGCCAACAACTGCTCCAAGTACATAACCTGGGAAAGAGGGAGAGAGGAAGAATTATTAGAAGTTTGCACTTGTGCGAGGGATTCTGTTGGAATATGGACTGTGTCTCTCAATGAACCCGATTGCACCTAGTTTGCACACTATACCTATTCCTGCAACGCTCAGTCCACATCTACTTTCTCACACAATTAACTCTAAGTGTTAATGTTGTTTTTTAATAACTCGTGACCCACAAGATAATTCAGAGAGAACTTAATTTCCATCTCTGAGAGGGAGCATGTGTCAGATTTCTGTCACTTGTCAGCCAGTGTTGAGCTCATGTTTAGACAAAGACCTGCAGCTAAGGCTAATTTCCATGCCATCACTGGGATCACGGCCTCTTTTCCTGTTTTCTCGTGGCCTGTCATTATAGCTCGGTTCGGAGGGGGCTGTGGGCGTCGGTGGGAGTGGGAGAGACAAAGAATTCTCAATATACACTCCTACCTTAACAGATTACCCCTCAAAAGCACAGCCACTCAGAGACCACAAACCCATGTCTATCACTAGGGGGCACTATCTTTTCTCAAACTTGATCACAGCACAGCTTGGCAGTCTGTGGAGGAAAAACAAGTGTAAAGCCAAGTAAAGATGCTCAGAGCTTTAAAAAAGACAGGATTTGTGAGGAGGAAGGGAAGCTAAAGGACTTCCAGTCTGCGAGACTAATAAGCAAATGTTTTTATTTTGCGACGGAGTGTTGAGCACACACTAGAAAAAAAGCTTCTTGCACTAACATGGATCTGGAGTCCACGGTGTTAGTTGAGTGTGTAAACATATTTTCCTGAGGCTAAACTAAACTTCCATGCAGTTCTGAGCGACCGTGACTTGCCCTCATTCCTTCAGCTGACATACACAGGCACTGTGCCCATTCCCTACTTGTGTGAATATGTTCAAATATTCATTGATGGAGAAAATCCCCAAGTAATTCACTGGCAAATGAACAAAGGAGGAGCTTAAGAGAGGCGGTCGAGATAACAGTCACAGACGCACACATTTACATAAAAAAAAAATGCACACACAATATACTGTATATGAGCAAAAAAAAACTATAAGGGAAGGCAGAGAGAGAGGGAGAGAGAGAGGGAGAGTGGAAAAAGTAGTGCAGCATAATGACTATGTGGACACCTGGAGCCAGGCAAGATACACCTGGTTTCATTGGCCTGGGCACGCTTCAGGGGCCTCATTACACAGTGTGTGTGTGTGTGTGTCCACCACTGGATACATCAATTACAAAGACACACAACTCCATTTTCAGGAGCCATACCACAAGGCAATAGATTCCTATCCAGTGGGGCGCTCACTCCCCAAAGCTACTGATGTTGCCAAGGCAATGGGAAAACAAACAGCGGTAGTAGATGTGATGCTGACCCCTTGCACGAAGGTAAAGTTTGCTCTCCTGCCTTTCTTCTCCTCTCTTTATCTGTCGTTCAGCAGAGCAGTGAGAAGTGCACGGCTGTCACTCATGACAAAGGGGAGGCACGCCGGAGACACGCTGATGTATGGAGGTATGTTAACGTTTGCGTATTCAGTGAAAAAACTGGTCAATATGACATTGTGAAATGCACAAAACATGAAAAGAGACAGAGCTTTTCTTTACGATCTTTCACTCTGATCACTGGGCAACTGTAGCTCAAGCACTTTTTTTCCAGTTTCACCAAGAAAGTATGCTCACTGTTATCAAGCCTGGCTGTAAATATTCTTCCTACCTCACCATCAGGCCCCCTTTTTATGCCGATCCTCCTCCTCCTCACCACTATCTTTACTAAATTATACCAGCCCCACACAAATTGTGATGTCTGCGTCATTATGGCAACTCACAACATAGCATGTTGTGTAATGTGTGTGATGGTAAGGGTTTGTGAATCCTTGTGGAATATTAAAAAAAGCCCATAAGTGATCTATAAGCAAACGCCCAATCCAAACTAAACAGGACACCTCAGAACACAGTGGCTTCACAAACCACTGGCTCGCCTTTGATTTTCCCGTTAAGCACTTGACATCATCCTTAACTTAAAACTAATATTTGTTTTATTTTTGCAAAGCATCTGCCATTTATTTTTGTAAGCGGTCCTTTTCCCCCCCGACCAAAATGAAGAAAAGAAAACAGGGAGTTGAAAGAGTCTGCGAAGTTAAGTCATGCCGAAGCATCATATATCAGCCTCCAAATCTTATGGTTGTTCCCTGAACTCCCCGCTGAGCCCTGCTGCTACCCCTGCCCCTGTTCACTTTGATGATTTATTTATATTTCATTTTTTAACGGGCTTCATTTTGACCAAATCCAATTTCAAGGCACATAACTCTCTCAAGTTGATCCAAATGCACGTTCTTATAAAGTTCTTAAGGTGCCTTATTTAAAAAAAAAAAAGTGAAATATAATAAAATCAGGGTACCGAGTCTACTATTTCTTTAACTTTGCTATTTGTGTCTGCAGACAACACTGCGGTATGCGGGTGCACAATGTTCTGGATCAGCATTTCAGCACGGAGAGACAGAGGGAAAGAGGGATGCAGGTGCTCCTGTCTCGAGGGGTGTTATTTACAGCCACACAGTGATCTGGCCCTGCTCCCTGCTCTGAACCCTGTATGTTGTCGAGGAATGTTGCAGGTGCTGTGTCTGGGTGATCTCTTGAATTGCAACCCCTCTATGTTTTGCCCTCAGAAACAGAGACAGAGAGAATGATAGAGAGAGATAGATGGAGGAACAGACAGAGAGGAAGCAGAGGTCTGCCTCCATCTGTGCGACAACGTGTGACTGTCCCGTCCTGTTAGTTCTTTCTCTGGTTGACCCTGCTGGAAAACGACGAGAGGACAGAAGGGGGTCAACTTCCCTCCTCATTTATCACTGGCCTTGACCAGGCAGGCTTTGAAATTTCAGGGATTCTTTCAATGGCGTGGCTGAACCTTACACATGGCTATAAAAAAAAAAGACAAAGACTATGCACTGCCTTGTCTGCTTGAGGGGTCAGAGCAGCCGAGCAGGGGTCACGTGAAATTAGTGGATTTTTGTTATTATTATCCCTGGGAGGAAATTCTTGCTGGCCACACTGAGAGCGGGGCGGGGTCAGGGGTGTAGGTGAGTCAATAGGGAGGCAGGATCAGAAAATAGCTCTCTGCCAGGAAACTGTTATTTTGATTCTGAAAGGGAAACATATTTGGAAGTACAGGAAGCAGGGATGATACTGACTCTATGGGATTTTTTCCAGAGGCAGACGGTTATTTGCAGAGAAACTCCAAAGGCATTTTTAATCATTTTTTCTGCTATGTAAGAAAAAGAAAAGTAAAGAGACTGTGAACATTGTGGGGGGAACATCTCTCACTTGCTTGTGAGCAGAGAGGTTTTGATCAAAGACTTGAAATGTTAGATTTGAAAAACACCATGAGGCTGGACTGTCGCTTTAGCTGGGTCAGCATTTTGTAAAGTAACTAAACCGCAAACCCGCTGAACTCACTGTGTACAGAAGTGCTATTCAAAACTCCTGAAAGGTCTTCAGCTAAAGCCTTTTTAAGAGATGTGGCATCTTATCATGAAACCTATTTCCATGAGGAACAAATTTGTCCAGATATGTACTATTTGACTGCTGAACTGTCACTGCCAAAAATAAGAGCACTAAGGTACACAGAGAGTAAAAAATGACCTTCTGTGACACTGCCAAGATCACCTAACAAGACTGAAAGAGAAACAGCTGGTGCCCACAGATCAGGGGGAGAATCATGGCAACCAATGTAGGCAGAGAAAACCGGGAAAATCTGTGATCTTTTGATAATTAAAACAGCAGCTCCTTCCCTTTCCAAAGTAAACTTCATATTTGCTTTGGTTGACAACAGTAGGATGTGCCTTCACAGGTAAATAAAAAAAGCTAAAAACAGCTCAACCACAACCAAACCCAAGCCCAAACCTCCCTCTGCTGACCTGTTGATATTCCTGGCAGACGTCGGGCTGAGCCAGTGTGTTGGCAATCTCCTCAAGATGTGGTTTTAGGAGGGGTTGGGAGCAGCCACCCAGCACCGCAGCCAGCACCATGAGGGGGGCCCAGGGATGAGAGGAAGAGTAGGGCGTTGTCACATGATCCAGCAGCAGCTTGAGGAAGGCGGCAGGAGGGACAAAGGTCCCCAACAGTTGAGCAGAAGCCAGACACTGAGTGAAGAGAGACATGAGGGAGTACAGATGAGGACGAGAACAACAGGAAGAGTGCTTTTAATTTGCCGCACATCAAACATCCACACAATTGTCCTACGTTAACAGGTGCATCCAAAGTCCTTGAGCTCAGCTGGGTGCAGTGTCAATTTAGAACAGTTAGAAACTGACGAAATGCTACAAGAGGTGTTGAATGAAAGCTCAACAGATGTGTCCTGAAATCATCCAGTCAGGCGACAATTGAAATGACAAAGCGATTCTATTGTGTTAGAGCCGAGGTTAAGAATGACTAAAAAATAAATATAGAATGATGCATAACATCGAACTAATCTGATGAGTAGGACTGATTTATTCCCAGAGCAGATTGTTATGTGAATTAGAATATTAAACGAGGCATTTCTTACTGTGCACCATGCAAACCACATTTAATGTCTCAAACTCACATTGCTGACGACGTCCCTCTCTGTGTCAGTGCAGGCCCGATAGAGGGTGGCCAGGAGAGGCTGCAGGTGCTGCGTGCTGTGGTCCTCGGCGTGGAGCAGCAGCACAGAAAGCAGCTGAGACGTCCTGACCCGCGTGGGCACCAGCCAGTCGCTGACATCGTGGGTGATGGCTGGCACCAGTCTGCCCAGATTTCTGATCACCAACTCTCTGCAGCCCAGCCCCGGACGTTCCACTGGAGGAGAAAATGAAGAACGTTCAGCTTTGGATTCTCTTCTACAACTGGATGACAGTTAGTTATATTTGGAATATTTATCAGGTATATATTTAACTCTCACTCATCCGCTTCATCTACTTCTCCTCAAGTTGGTGAATTAAATTGCATTACAGACTAACTGTGAACAAGAGATGGGCAAGTTGTAGGGGTTCGTTGCTCAAAACGCAAAATCTTCTCTGGCTGCATTTCCTTGTCAATGTATGGTGTTGTAATTTGTAGAAGTTGTAAAACAACACTTAGAAGTAGTTCCTATAGGGTGGCCAGGCTTTTGCCACCAGGACCCAGAGGCTCTGGAATTCCTCGCCTGTGGAAATTAGATTTTTAAATATTGCCCAAAACATTTTTATAGGGATGCATTTTTTCTTCCTTTCCTTAATCTTTCATATTTTTGCTGACCACTTCCCTCTCTGTGTCAGTGCAGGCCTGATAGAGAATAATGTTTTACAATTAAGATTTACCCACGAGGGACTTGTCAGAGCAAGTGAACAGCAATCTCAGCCTGCATTTCAAATCCTGCATCGCGCTCTCCCTCCCCTCATTCTTCTCCTAAAAGGCACACTAATGAGAGAGGAAGAAGGGACTAAAGGAAGACAGAGATAAATCAGAGAAACACACCAGGACAAGACAAAACAAGCCCCTTTCTGGTTGTCTCTCCCTGTCTGACAGTGACCTCTTCACACTGGGAGGCCCGGCAGATTTATGATGGCACGAAAGAGAAAGAAAAAGAGGGAGAGAGAGAGAGCTCTTCCTTCCCCTTTCTTTCCTTTCCTGTCCCCAGGCACAGCGCATATTCACCCACTTTGTCACATGTAGCTGTGGGACATGTGAGCTTTAACAAAAATGCAGGACCCAAGAACTCTGCCCCTGACACACACACACACACATTAAACACACTGATCCAGGCCCCACAGGTGAGCTGTGGTGACCATGTTCAGGTTCACACTTATTCCCAGCCCCAGGGCAGACACTTATTCTTTCCAAGCCGGTGCCTGCCCTGAAAACTACACTGTCATTCGTAGCATTGTTTATTACTATATCGTTTATTACTATATGAGACATGATTTAATGCAGCAACGTGTCAGTGATTGCAGCTACATTTGCATTAAAATGGTGTGATGGGGATTAATTATGCTGCAGGACAGACCAGTGAAGCCAATGCACCTGGAAGTTTATCTGTGTTGTAAAACTGGAATTCAAGACACCGATCCAAACTTAGATTTCACCTAAATTAATCCCTCTACTCAAAGAGATAAAAGGATTGTCTTACAGGATGTAAGAAACACTGAATTTATATGAGCTTAAGCAGGATATCAAGGATATTACTGCTCAGATTATTTCAACAGGTAAACACCAACTCTGCCTAGACACTCCAGTCCTTGCATCAAACAGGCTTATAGCTTTAAGTTTTCTCCTCACTGCTGTTTTGAAAAATGGTGACTATAGGGATGAAACGGTTACCGGTTTTGCGGCATACCAAGGTAAATATCCCAATGGTTAGTTGTACTGTTTCATTTTAAATTACCTTGGTCATTTGGTTGATACTGTCCAGCATCAACCTGAGTTAGCAATTCCCCAAGACACGGCAAGGCACAGACACAGTAAAAATGTGGTGGTTGGTCGCTATAATCATTATAAGACATCGTCACACAGTTTCATCTCTAATGGCGACAATGGATGCTAACAAGATCTTTAGGAGGCAGGGGTGATTTCTCAATGCTACCTCCTCAACCTGCACTCTCTAAGCTCTCTTGCAACGATGTATATTGTGTGTGTCTTCACAGCCATAACAGCCACAAATTTCCCTGACTAGAATTTGAGCATGATGCTCTGTAAAGGTTAGTTTTTAAAGCAAGTGTCAAAATTGCTCTTGACACAAGAGGGATGAAACCTGCACACAATTCACAAACTAGACTACAGTATGATTTCACTCTCAGCCTCTCGTCAGCTTGCCAAACCGAATATAACTGAATACTTGATTTGATTTCTTCTCTTTAACATTTTATACAGAGCATGTTGAAAAGCTGTAGGTCAAACACAAATGTAATTAGAATAGCACTCTGTAGAGCAAGTACATCCATCATTTCGTCAAGGCCAAACAGTTCCCTTAAATTGAATCAAGCCGCACCAAATTGCATACACTCAAAGATATCTGTCCTATAAATATGCCTATACTTTTTTCATCAAGATCTGTGAATTATCCCCTGGGAAAACTGTGAAAATGTCCAAAAATGCCATATCTCGCAATGTTAAAGAAAGAGAAAAGAAAATCCTGGACGCGCCCTCTGCTCCAAATCTGCAGGAAAATTAGCTTAATGAGCTCTTCCCTGACGCATACCAGATCCTCTGCCCAAGTTCTGTGATAATAAGTCTGGTAGAATTTGTGGGATGCTGCTAATTAACAGACAAAACACCAAACAAACGCATATGAAAACAAAAGCTCCTTGGCAGAGGAATAACTAAATCTTACCCTTGAGGCAAATATCTTTAGATCACAAAAAATAACAACTTTTAGAAACATATATAAATGAATATGTAAATCTGAAATCTAAGTAACAGGGGTACTGTTAATGGTCAAAGTTATTCATGATTCATTCCCTTAAGTCTGGACTTTAATCAATCTCTCTCCCACATTGCCTATCTGGATTAATAATGAAAGAGTGGCAAAAAAGCTGCTGCTTTGCCAGCTGTGACTGACCTCCTGGTGGGTAGAGGGGAGGTGGGGTGAGGAGGAAGTCCATTTTATCCTTGATGTCGTCCTCATTCTCCTTCTCCCACTGTGCTCCTACTTGTCTCCATAAATCAGCTGCTAGAAGTCTGCAACAGGGGAGTGCAAACATATGTTCAAGACATTTTATAGATATTAAGATCATCAAACTCCCCCTGACCTGAAGAATAGCATGTGAGTAGTGGCATGTGATATTATGAAGTGGGGGTGTATGTCTGCAGTACAATACCTTATTTCTGGGATCTCATCGTTGATGCTGCTCAGCAGGAGCGGGACGAGTTTGTGGAAATAAGAGTATCTGTCTCTCAGATGAAGTAGCCAATCCCCAACAACTGCGGTCACAGCTTTCCTCACCTGTACCACAGGAGGTGAAGTATTAGTTTAGGGTGAAAAACCTAAGAAGCTAAACTTGTAAGGAGTTTTTAACAGTAGATTATTTCTAGAAATGGAACCTGTGGCGAGTCGTCGAACAGTCTCTGTGCCAGGTGAGAGAGGACATCGTCCACGTTTTTCCCAGTGCCATGCTGAATGACGGCCCCGGTGGCTTCGATGACAGACACTCGTACTCGGGAGTGCTGATGAGTTATCGTCTGCATGAGAGGCTTGACCAGACTCTCAGCTTGCATATGAAAGTGCTCTAAGGAGAAAGAGGTGAAATACACATCAGCTTATTCAATTTTGTCAACATAGCGCTCGTTAAAACATTTATACAGTATCAATAATGAGACTGGATATATCCTGTGATGTTTGGTTGGATTAATGTTACTCGATTGCTCAGGTTTTATGATTTTAAAATGCTGAAGTGCTGATTACTCTGAGTTTTAGACACAATGTGAACCAAATAAACACAAAATAGACAAACTATAATTAATGCTGAAATGGTTAACTGATTAGAAGACTGACAGAAACTGTTTAGGCCCCAACTAAAATTTTTAATTTTGTCAGTCTGATGATTACTGATTGATTGTTCCTCTAAGGCACATAAAGATGAGCCATATAAGACAAAATTATTGACCTGGCCCAAATCGTTAAGTGGTGACAATGGATCTGAAGTTGATTACTGATCTGAGGGTCCAGAAGCCCAAAGCACTGAAATAAATGAAAAATTTACTCTAGAAAAAAAACATTGACATTTATTGATATCTAAATTTACACCAGGAGGCTATTTGAAGGATGTGGATTGTAATGATAACTACAAATCGATTAATCATTACAGCCACTCGGTGTCTGCGTGTCTGGAAACCATGGCAACAGACTCATCAACAACACGAACCTGGCACACGCATCGCAAACTCCATTGCGCATCTGCAGCTTTCTCTTTTGACTTCCGGGAAGGGATCGACGATGGCTCTCTGCAGTATGTTGATCATTTCGGTCAGATAGGGAGCCAAGTGCTTCCCGCACATCTCCACCGTCAGCGATAACATCTCCAGGGCTGACAGCCGAAGCTCCTCCGCGGGCTCCAGGATCTCTTTCTCCCCGAGCCGCTGAGCCAGGCAGGGCATGAGATAAGGCAGCGACTCCTCCGGCCTGGGGACGCAGCGGATGAACTCCGTGATCGTCGCTATCGCCGTGTCTCTGCATCTCTCGGTCGGATCTGACAGACATTTGAGGAGAGGCTTGAGCAGGGCAGAGAAAAGCTCCTGTAAGACGCCACCGGAAAGTCCTCCGTCGATGGTGTCCCTCTTGATTTGGTCCAGGGCCCTCCTTCGAGTCGACTTGTTGTCTTCGTTCAAACAGTTTAAATGTCGGGCGAGTCCTCTCAAAACTTCAGCGGCAGCATGTTCGTCTCCGGCCGCCATCGCTGCCATCTTGAATGTTGTTGTGGCAACCAACATCTGCACGGCAAACAAACGGATGCTTTACGACAGCTTCCGGTTCAAAATCTCAAACTTTATTGCTATTCAGAAACATAACATTTGCTCCACCCACGTCTTTATGTCTAAATCTAAAATGCTACAAACAAGTGTCACACAGTAAAACATTCAAAAGACTGGTTGATGACGTCTTTGTAAAAAAAAATGTTTTGTTCCATTTCACTGCAGCTGCAGGCAAGTTGCCAAGTTGTACAGGCACAAGCTGTTAAAGTTTAAAGAGATTTGCCCCCAAAAAAATGAAAGAAAAAAAACTACCCCACTCTACCTGAAGTCACCCTACCTCCCACTTTTTTTTTTTTAGAATATATGTTTTTTTTTTGTTTTTTTTACCTGCAAATGGGCAGGTATAAAATGAATAAATGCTAAAACGAAGTAAACCAAAAAGACACATCTATTTAAGGATTAAGGATTAAGATTCCTTTTTATTGTCCCACAATCATGCACACACAGCACTACATGCAACATCTGTTAAAGAGGTTGATTTATACAGTTAGATAAAGTGTGTAACAAAGTAAACATCCACTTTACCTTAAATATTTTTTATTTACCTGCAAACATGGCATGTATAATAAGAATACATGCTAATATTGAGTGTCCCAATGTTTATTTAAAAACTTTTTTTTAAACATAAAATATGATTTCACCGCACTTCTTTTGAGTCAGTTTGCAGGTAAAACATCCACCCTACGTTTCCTGTGAGGATTTTACCTGAGGTCACTGCACTTATTTTTATTGTGGATGTTTCCTTTAAAGGTCCTTTACCTGTAAACGTGCCGTGCGCGCGCTCGCTGCCTCCTCGAGACAGCGCCGCTGCGGTGGAGATGACAGATTGACGTCATCGGGACTGACGCAGAGCCGTGGCAGCAGCAGCAGCAGCATCTTCCCCGCTAACACACCGTCCCTCTCCTGTCTCCCACCGACACCGAGGTGTTTTCTCACCGAGCATCCTCCGCTAAATAACGGTAGGGAGAGCACCGACTCCACCGCCCTGGTGTTATGAACTCTACTATATATACACACATTTAAACCTGGCTGTGACGCCACGGCAGTCGCAGTGATTTCCACTTCGTTGTTTGTTTGGTTGTCATTGTGAGGTTAGCAAGGCTAGCTGGGTTAGCCGTGTGTTGACTGCAGCTGAACAGGTGCCCCGTGTCATCACTAGCTTTACATGAGCTAAACTGCTAAATGTGGGCACTGCTGTGCTGTTAGTGGTGAAGGAACATCTGCACATAGTAGAGGCCACGTCCTGATGTGATGTCTGATTGTGATTTATTATGCAATATTAACCGTAGCATCGCGATTTCCCATTGAGGAAGTGATTCACGGTAGTAGTGAACAGCTAGCTACAACCTGCTCAGCTTCCTGGCTTGATATGTGATATACTGTGTCCTTATTGTCTGAGAAGCTGATGGGAGCTGTCATGCACTGTTACACATCTGCTTTCCGTCCACATGTAGAGGTGTTTACTTTAACAAATCTCTCCATATTCCTGGAAAGTTCAGGGATGCAATTTCAAGATGTCAACCAAACAAGAGTGGGTGGTTAGAATTAAAGCCTCTATCTGGTCACATGTTATCGCATATGTGATCTGTATTGTTATATAGTGTTTTTTGTGGAAAACTATCAACGAAAATGTTCATTGCAGAGTAAAAATCACAGAAATTCAACATCTCCATAAAGCAGCACCGCTTACTGACTTGCAACATGAACCACAGAGTCGTAATACACTCAGGGGAGCTACCTTGATATTAAGGATGGTAGTATGGCAAAATGTCATGGTTAAACTGTTTTAATGAGATCACAGTCAAATTTACATTGCCTATATTGTCACATTGCACAAACCTACAACTGATACACTAACTTGATGATTGGTATTTTAAGTTATCAGTCTTCTTTAGCTTAAAAACAGGTTACATATACCTGTAACAATCACCTTTATCAATTATTGTTTTATTTAATTATTGCCATGAGGTCCTTCACGGGAAACATAGGCAACATGGTGTAAAATGTCCAGTTACCTCCTTCCAGCGTACCATTGCTCTTCTTTTCTCTCCCCCTTTCCCTGCTTACCATACACAACCATGCACTCTGCATTTTGCCCCTCTCAACTATTTTGTGTTGTAATCCCCTGCTACCCTGTTCTACCCTCGTCTCTGTTATGCTTTCCCTCCCCTCCTCTCATGGTCCACCCTGTTTTCTCCCACTGCCACAGAGATAAAAGATAAGATGGCCACCTCCTCCTCCACTCTGGAAGACGACGAGAGTTTGAAGGGCTGTGAAATTTTTGTGCAGAAGCACAACATCCAGCAGATCCTCAAAGAGTGCATAGTGAACCTCTGCATCGCTAAGCCTGAGCGTCCTATGAAGTTCCTGAGGGAGCATTTTGAAAAGCTGGAGAAGGTTGGTTATAAAAAAGTTCTGTGTTTGTATGACTTAGTTCTATTATTTTTAGTCTCTACTTGTACATTATATTTTGATGTGGATAACTTGAAGTTGTTGCAATATACCATATAACCTGAATTTGACATGTGACATAAATGTATAGCAGTGTGTCCCAAGTAGTGATTTATTTGTTATATTTGTCTGATTAATATTTCTCATCATGTATCACAGTCTGTGATGCACATGGTTATTAGAAGATCATTTATGATGTGAAATTGTTGTTTTAATATTGTGAAAACTTGCAGGTGTTACCATAAACTACACACTAGTGCAGTGTATGTATTTGAGCTTTAAATTCCTTCAATGGGACAGTCCATAACAGAATGTGAAAGAAGCACAGATGAAAAGACAGTGTCAGTTGGCCGTCTCAGGGAAGAGACTGTTTGTAGCCGCCTGTCTGTTTGTCTGTGAGCAGAGAGACAAAGAAAAAAAACATGATTTAAAGATAACAGAGAGGAGAGTAGGCTTTTGTGAATTAAAGGAAATGAAAGATCATGACGAGTAAGCAAGTTAAAACCAGTGCAACCTTTGTCGTTACCCGCAAACAACGTGGCTGCTCAGCATGCAGGCGTATGTGTGTCTGTCTCTTTTCAGCTAAAGTATTGAAGTTATTATGTTGAATCTTGTTGTATTTATTTTTGAGCTGAATAACTTAGAATCTACAAGGTGACAAACCAAAATGTACGTTTACTAGGAACATCTAGCTAATACACTCCAGTACAACAGCCCTGCAAGAAATACTACATTTAGATCTCTATCCTGAGATTGTGATTTAATTGTATTCATTTTGGAGGCTGCAGTTGCATAACTTCAGATTCAGATTGCAGATTCCCTTTAATGTCATTTCTATGTCGGTACTTAAAAACGAAATACTTGGACAGGTGTTTCTATTGTTAAATCGGGTCATCGATTGTTATATTCATAACAGAGCATTGTCTGGAAACTGCAAAACAGTTCAACAGTAAAACAAATTACATCCTCCAAAAAGATTAAAAAGTTAAATCAACAAATCTTGATTCTTCCAATGACAACTAAACTTTATGATAATAATGGAGGAAGAATTTAATGCAGGACTGTTGTGTTAGACTGTGAGAGCTTGGTGTTCAAAATAAACTCCCAACTGATTGTACTAATATTATACAGGTATTATTGTGCCTAAAATCCAGGTTAACCTTAAAACAGGGTGTCTCAGGATTTAGCCTAAAAGGATGTTCCCAGCGTTTGGCTTTGATCAAGCAGAGATACAGATGGGTTTGCTCATGAGTGGATCACAAGATTTTGAGCTGAACAATGGGCTCTACTCTAACACTACTCTTCCAAATAGATCATAAAGGTGTGTGAGGTAGAGCTGTAGGCTGTCGATGTTCTGAGGAGAATTTTAGCCTTGGAAAAGAAAGTCTCCCACAAGAGAAGTGATTGTGAGGAGACATCAGATATAGGAGGACTCAAGTTCACCATCCCAATGCCTTGAGGAGGGTCTCAATCCTTGCTGAAGTGGTGTGTGTGTGTGTGTGTTTGTACGTGTGGTAGCATGTGAGAGTCATCTGATTTGATTTAAAATATATGATGTACCCCATCTCAACAACATTTAAGATGGAAAAATTGTCTTAATTGTGACATGGATGTGCTTGTGGCACAGTGATCAGATGTGTGAATATCATTATAAAGATGGGGAAATGACTAAACAGGGAGTATACACCCTCTGCTCTCCAATAAAGAAAGCACTTTAATGTTACATTAAAAGTTGCCTACATTAATGTAACTGTTTTGGGGTCAGTTCTTAATACAAACATTCTCTTTAAGCTGTCCAGTCTTTGCTTGTGTTATGAGGTCAGTCATTTGTAGAATTGGAACAGACCATGTATGCTTTTGTGCTGTTCCAGTTATTTAAGGAGCTTACGGTGCTCCTCTCCACCCACACAGGGACAAAATTTGTTTCAACAAGCCATGCCCATTTAATCTGGATTTGGGACCACAGATCTTATTTTCTCAATTTTGTATTGGTATTCTCAAAGGTTGAATGTGCAGAATTTTGTGGCATCTAGAGGTGAGGTTACAGATTGCAACCCCCCTACCTTTGCAACAATGTAGGACAGAGGTTACTAATGGACAGACCACGATCCAGACCTGCAACTTTAACAGATAGAACATTGAGAATTGTTAAAATTGTTAAAATTTTTATGGAAATTGAACTTTAGCTTTTTAGCCTTCACTTTCTGTCTCTTTTTTCAAGATGCACAGTTTTTGCGCGTTAGAAGGGTCATTAACCCTCAACTCTCTTGAGGTAAATGCAGCAGGGATCCCCTGGTGTGTTCACACATCGACTTCTCTTGGATTTCCACGGACATTATACTAGGAGGCCAGGCGGATAAAGTCTGCATAACGTTCACACATGCACCCCCTCCAGGGACAATACGTAGGAACTGCTAAGATTCAATGCATGTCTGAAAGCAGCTCACATGTCCAAAAATCTTATGCTTCAGAAAAAGCTTAGTATAGCAAAGCAGATTTCAATCACAGACCAACATCCTGAATTTCAAGAGTTTGAATTAAATCATGGGTCAGATCTTGTTTCTCAGTCATTTAGAGAAGGCATCTTTTGCTCACAACACAAAAACATAAAAGAGGATAGAAAATAATACACCTCCTCTGTCATCAAATATTCTCCTGTACCTCACCCTCCATGTTTGTTTGTGTTAGTCTCTCACAGTCACCTTCCGTCAACACTGGTCGCCCACTAGAGGCGGTAACCTAGGCAACAGTAGAGGATTGTTAGACTGTAGTCTATTCTGTGTTCAATGAGCTCTATTATTCACAAAGTTTATTCTGTCTGTCCTCTCATATATTGAGGTTTTTCTATGTGCCCGTTAGATCACCAGGGTATTCTTTCTCCCCTTTTTGCCAGCTCTAACCTCATTTCATATCTGCATAAGATCCATTTCATGCAGCTCTCACAATATTATCTGTAAAATCTCTTTGTCTGGCTCTTTCATCTAATTTCACAGTTCTTTGATGTTTATGGGTTTTTTTCTGAACATTCAAGCATTTCTTGCACTTGAGATCACACTCAGTCATCAGTCTGACAAGTTTGTTTTTGACTTTTGTTTCGATATAATAATACGTCTCTAGTCCGTTGACGTGAATCACAAAATAACAGGCGCCTCGCTCCCTTTCATCCTGCCTATTTATGCATGGTAATGATGCCTTTGATTTGTACAGATCAGTAGCTTTGCATGGGTGTTCTCATCTTCTGACAGCTCACTGTGTAATTGCTGAGTGAACCTTCATTTCTGGCACACTACAGTGTCAAAAGGCAACTTTTTTGTGACAATTTAGCATAGTGTTCTAAAAGGACTGTCTTTTAGCAGATGTTTACTACTTGTTAGTATGTTTGTCACTCTTATTTACTTTACATTTGAAGCGTAAATAGTGCTATTCAGTTTACAGTGTTATAGATGGTAAGTTTCTGGATAATTCCATAAGCTGATAATACCATAAGCTGTATTATCAGCTATCCACTATCCAGAAATAGGGCCAAAATATCCTCGATACCAACGCTGCCATCATATGGAGCCAGAGTCTCCGTGCTAGCCATTGAGGGATTGAGCCACGGAAGCGAGGTCCCACTGATTGGCGTGTTCAACCAATCCCGCCTGTCTCAGCTGTCGACCATTTCACTTGATTTTTCTAATATCACATCGGAAAGTAAAACCAAACTTACCAGAATGAACACAAAATGAGCACTTGGATAAGAACAACCTTAAAATTGCAGATTCAAGTATTTTTACTTTTAGTTTGTTCTGTGTCTCAACTGCTAACATGGAGGAGTTTGGGTTTATAACCCATACAACAACCAGCCACCAGGGGTCAATCAGTTATGGCAAACTGATGGTATTGAAACAGTGCTAAACAAAGAATTGATTGAAATACTGCAGACATATCATTCTATTTGACTGCTGCTCTAACCCAGAAAAAATGACTAGATCTCATCAGTCTACATTATTACAGATTTGTTTAACAGCTAAAATTGACACGCCTGAATGTGTGAGTGTGGATATGCTACTCAGTTTATCAAGTGGGCAGCTGCCACCGCAGATGTTTTATGGAATTGCATCTTCTCATGGCTCAATAGTGTTCTCTGGCATCACAGATCCAGCGTTGCTGACGTTGTTTGGCCACCATTATGAAAATGTGACTTGAACTTGAAGTTGCCACCTGGTTTCCTCATTACTTTTGTAGCACCAGCTTTCAACAGGAAATATATCAAGAAACCTCTCCCCTCCCTCCTCCTCTTCCTTTTACATTCTGTGAGACAGTTCCCACTGCTACTACTACATGTAAAAAAATCAGCAGTTTGATCTAAACTAACATGCCACCTGCACTGGCAGCCAAATGTTCAGTGCTTTGATTCTATTAGCCGTAGTGCAGCTACGGAAGGTAATGAAAACCTTCTGGTTTATAAACCTTCTGGTTTTCATTAGCAGCTATTTTCTGCCTAAGGTTGAAGTTACTGGAATCTTTTGATTGTGAATGCTTTGGTGGATTATCTAAATTAATCATGAATTTCTAATATTGCTGTTTTGCAAATGTTAATTCTTCACTATTCTGAGCATCAGAAACAGAATTACATTCACTTTCTTTGTTTTGCAGAGGCTTATTTTTGTAGTGGCAAAAAATTGAAGAACTGAATCTATGTGTGTGGCTGGGTCCCACTAGTGCTTAAAGCTCTCGTGCTTTGTTTGTCTTTTTATGTGTTTGGGTGAACTGAATGATCTTAATATTGAATATTACCATTCGCATAGTTGCTCAACATGTTCTGCTTTTGTATGTGTATATCTGTTTGTTGTGAGTTGCTCTGTGGTAGACTAGCAGAATGCTCCCTGTGTTCCCTACACTCACAGGGCTGTCATAAGTTTGTGTCCCATGCTTCACTCCTGCTTCTACGTTCTAGCTTTTGT